ATTCTCGCACTAAGACACAGGGGTGTCGATGGTGTAGCAGTCAACGCGGACGCTACAAAACTACTACTGACTACTACAAAAGCAGAGATACGGGGTTCCATTCCTTGCGGAGCTCCTCCTTCCTGTTAGGGTCAGAGTTATGCCGTGCCATATAGCCTCAGAAGCTGAGTGCGTCGTAAAGCCGAAATCACGACACACACCACACACGCACAAATACACAAACACACACACACACACAAGCGCTCTCTCTCTCTCTCTCTCTCACTCTCTCTTTTCTTATTCATTCATTAACGTCTACCTTATACCCGTATTCCTTGCCGCGAGTGACGAACTTCATTCTCCGCAAAATGGCATGAGTAAATATGCATGGGCGTCAAGCTGCGTTTAGAGAAAAGTTACATTACGCAAAGATACTCCACAGCTTTCAGCATACGCCGACGAAATTGTGGAGGAAATTGACAGATCTATTGCACAAAATTAAACAACACCAACATCGGGACACCCCGACTTCTCGCACAGAATGCTACACAACATGAAGCGCAGGAACAGATCAAGAACGCCGCAAGATTTTCGTGCACTGAGGTTGCGCAGCGCAGTCATGGCCAGTGGATCTCAACAAGCATCTTCAACGGTAAATAACAAAGCAACTCGAAACCCGGCGCAGGCTGGTCCGGACACCGCTGTGTCATGGTACGAACGTCACGTGACATGCACGGCATGTGCGGCATAATGTCGAGCATTCCACGTGACATTTTCCGCCCCGCGTACACGTCACGGTGAAGTACCGCTCGAACTCACCGACAGCGGTGTTGGTACCGGAACGCGCGGCCGTCCCCCGCCTCCTCCTCTCGTCTTCTGGCGCGCCACCAGAGGGCGCTGGCCGGCGCGCGCGCGCGGCTTTCCCGTCCGCCGCTGACGTTTCGGGACTCCCCGGGGCGCCGAGTCGGCCAGAGCTGCTGCAGGTCCGCCAGTCCTGGTGTGAAGACCAGGGCGAGCGGCCGGGGTGACGTAGCGGGAGAGGGAGGGGAAGGGGAGGGATATTTGAGCGGTCTTAACCCACGCGTGGCGTGAGCTGACAGGATGTGTCTACGATGCTAAGTGGTGGCTAGTAGATGCGTGCTCCATCGCACTAATTAAGTGGATTTTGGAGAACGAAAACGTTCGCCATTAGCAGTGCGCATAGACGAGCAGAAAGTCATGGTCCCTACAACCTGCTTGTCAACGACAGTGCATGGAGAGCAGCAAGACGTCATGATCCTCGAAACATTTGAAGACTTCAGTTCACCGTGTCGTCAAGGCACGACAAGAATGCTGCGCTACGCCGCTGACTATTGCGCCGCACTACTAATAAAAACACACACATCACAAGGAATACTGCGCCGCACTACTAATAAAACACACCATCACAAGGAATACTGCGCCGCACTACTAATAAAAACACACCATCACAAGGAATACTGCGCCGTACTACTAATAAAAACACCCATCACAAGGAATACTGCGCCGCACTACTAATAAAAACACACCATCACAAGGAATACTGCGCCGTACTACTAATAAAAACACACCATCACAAGGAATACTGCGCCGCACTACTAATAAAAACACACCATCACAAGGAATACTGCGCCGCACTACTAATAAAAACACACCATCACAAGGAATACTGCGCCGCACTACTAATAAAAACACACCATCACAAGGAATACTGCGCCGCACTACTAATAAAAACACACCATCACAAGGAACACTGCGCCGCACTACTAATAAAAACACACACACATCACAAGGAATACTGCGCCGCACTACTGATAAAACACACCATCACAAGGAATACTGCGCCGCACTACTAATAAAAACACACCATCACAAGGAATACTGCGCCGCACTACTAATAAAAACACACCATCACAAGGAATACTGCGCCGCACTACTAATAAAACACACCATCACAAGGAATACTGCGCCGCACTACTAATAAAAACACACCATCACAAGGAATACTGCGCCGCACTACTAATAAAACACACCATCACAAGGAATACTGCGCCGCACTACTAATAAAAACACACCATAAAAAAACACACCAAAACCTACCAGAGAAACAGACCATCGCATGGAGTACTGCACCGCACTACCGAGGAAACAGACCAACACATGGAGAACCGCACCGCACTACCAAGGAAACAGACTATCACATGTAATACTAAGCTGAACTGCCATTGGAACGGGCCAGATATGTGCCTGCTCCCAGTTTTGGTTCCTGCTTTGTGCTGGTTCCTCCAACAGAATTAAGATCCTGGATATGGGTTCCCACTCGTTTCTTTAGCAAAGCTAAACTCCGGTTTCTGGTTCCCTCTGTTTTTTTTCGATAAAACAAAACCCTGGGTTTTGGCGCCCATCAGTTCTTTTGACAAAGGAAAACCCTGGATCCCGTTTCCCTCTGGTTCTCTTGGCAATAGTAAAACCGTGGGTCCTGGTGCCCATCGATTCTTTAGCAGACCATCGTCCAGATTCTTTAGCAGACCATGGTCCAGATTCTTTAGCAGACCATGGTCCAGATTCTTTAGCAGACCATGGTCCAGATTCTTTAGCAGACCATGGTGCTAGTTGTCTTAAGTTTCTTCGAGAACATTGGACCTTCAATACTGGTTGGCACTGTTGTTTTCATAAGTACAAGATTCTGACTCATGGCTCTCAGCCACAAAGTCGTGCAAGTCATACAGGATACCCAAATCTTTTTGCTTTCACATTTATTGAAAATCAAACACCACAGGCAAGTTAATCAATCATCATGACCTGACACCACCAATGCAACTAACAAAGCTTGAGTTCTAGCTGAAGATCGTTATCTACAGCTGATAAATGAATGTCCAGCATGTCCAATATGCACCAACCGATACAACCAATATTATTTTGCTGTTAGTTGAAGATCATTGTGTGATCCATAAAACTGAGGAGGTACCTGACACCTGAAGCCATACACTCATCATTTCAGGATAGCAAGGGTTGTCTATCAAGAGCAGTGCACTGATCAACAGCATTTATGCACCACACAACGACATGTGTGGTGAAAGGGCAGTTTGTCATACCTGAAAATATTTCGCTAACCAGCCTTAGAGGTTGGCTTACGTTGCAAGCACCAAACTTGGATGTTGGAGTCGTAGATAGCAGATGATATGCATACGGAAAAATGCAATGGCCGATTTACATGTGAAGAAGTCATCATGTTTCATTCTCCAAAGAATGGCAGATGTTTGCAAGAGATCTTTGTGGCAGGTTTGTGGTATCAAACAAGTGAGATTTTCTGCTCCTCGCTATTTCTTGCTCCTCGCTGGATCCATTCATGTTCCAGGCTGGATCTTGGAATGTCAAGCTGAATCTTGGAATGCAAGCTGCATCTTGGAATGCCAAGCTAAATCTTGGAATGTCAAGCTAAATCTTGGAATGCCAAGCTGGATCTTGGAATGCTAAGCTGGAGCTTGGAATGCTAAGCTGGATCTCTCTTTTTGCTGGATCTTTCGACATGATGCCAGGCGGGGTCTCGCTTCTCACTGGTTCCCTTGGATTGGTGTGAGACTGGATCTTTGTCCTTGCTGGATTTTTCGGCTTATTGTCAAACTGGATATTGGTTCTTTCCGGATCTTCTGACATGATACGAGGCTGGACCCTGGTTTCTTCGTCCCAACTCCAGACTGGTGCCGGGGTTCTCTCTGGCTCAAAATCACAAGCCATGAACTGGCTCCCGGGAAGAGATCCTTGGAGCCAGGCACATGTCTGGGACTCTCATGCGGAATACTGCGCCGCATTGCCCATGGGACGAGCCCCCGTACGAACTACTGGGCCGCACTGACGATGGCACAAACCCTCGTATGAAATACTGAGCCGCACTGCCGATGAAATGGGCCCTTAAGTGGAAGGCTGCACTGCACTGACGATGGAACGAACCCTCGTATGAAATAGTGCACCGCGCT